TTTTTTTTTTTTTTTTTTTGCGATAGAAATTACCCGTGATTCGCATCCTGATTCGAGAATTTTGTTTTGATTTAAACGTTGAGATTATATTTTTTTTGCTCGATAAAAATTATTTATCTTTACGCACATAAATTAGCTATCTTTGTTTAAAAAAAAAGAATCATCGATTTTTAAAATTTCTAAATCTAAAATAATTAATTATAGGAGTAAGTTTTATTATGATTATATTTCTTCAGTAAAAAATAATACTAATAATCTCTTTATAAATTTTTAACTATTATGAATAAAAAGTAAAGATGAGAAATGTTAATATATCCAAACGTATCCTTTATGTTATATGTTTTTCAAAATTAATATTTCTCGACATACTTGATAAAAAATATTTCATATGTTTTTATAGAGAATGTCAAATTGCATCGATAAATTAATTATAAAATAAAAATATATGATTCCGTTTAGAGAACAAAAAAACACGTGAAAATTTTGAAAACATGTGATACGCACACATTTGTACACTACCAACATATTCGAATAAAGTAAATTCTAATTCTTGAAATATTTTTTTAAACTATCTATAATTTGATAAGATAATTGATAATAATACAAATATTAAAATATATCCTATCATTATATATATCATTTCTCAAATTATTCACGACAATTTAAATGAAGAAATAAAATTCCATAAAAGACCATGTCTACATTACATAGGATTACATAAGAATGAACGATCAAAGAAGAAATAATTGGAAACGAGGAATAACATGATTTTTAAATCGGACATGCAACCCTCTTTAGCAAATTTCAATTGACATGCAACGGGAATATCGAGTAACATGCCAGCTTAACGGTCGCGATACAATTTCGGTGTCATCCATTTATTTTCTCTTTCCCATATTGAACGCGCCTTGTATGCCCATCAGTTTCGTGCCCATTTCCCTAGCATTCGGGTCAATGAATCTTTTATTGCTCTAATTAAAAAATCTAATTAACCTTACTCCATGGGATCTCTTATTAATCTGTATTTAATTCTATCTTTGACCCTGGGAAATTAAGTTTGATTTATTTAAATGGAGTAACACAGTTCAGAGCGGATTAAAAATAGTTTCGTGGAAGAATGAGTCGAGAGGAAAGAATAATATTTTTTCGACGTTTAGTTTTCGAGAAAATCGGAGATATTTGTCGAATTTGTAAATGTGTATTCGCTCGATTCAGAATGAGATATTATTAATTAACATATGAAAAAATAGGCCGTGATCGTAGAATAAAATTTTTCTATTTAATAATTAAAGAAAATGAAATTTGAACACAAGATACGAGAATATCTTAAGCGTAGATATATTTTTCCATTTTGATTCTCTCAAAAATAAAATCTTAAGGAATATAATTTTATTCCAGATTTTTTTTCACTGTCGTGTTATTGAAAACGAAATGAAGAAATTTTGTTTTTATCCTTTTCTTTTTCGATTTCTTTTTGCAAGTCTCTCTTTGCATTGTAAAATATATTCATTTTATATTGATGTTTATTTAATCGAATGAAATAATGGAAATAAAAGGAAGAATTATCGATCATCGAAAGTTCGATGAAAGTTTGGTCAATAATATATAGGCAAAGAAGAATCGGTTCGCATAATTTCAGAAAATTTTCTGATGCAATAATTGCTTGTGGCATGTTTTCGTAATAACAAAATCTAAATTTCGAAGAAATCTTAACAAATAAAACTTTCTTAGAAACGATATGAAATTAATTTTAAGAAACCGTAAAATTGTTCATCATTTCCCTACTATATACTTTTGCTCGAGAATCTTGGAACAGTTATCATAGTTCAAAACTGAGAAAAATTAAATAAATTAAAAAATATGAAAATTTATTGCTGTAAATGATAAATATATTCGCTATATATCAATGATTCTTATGTATTCATAAAACGGAATAGAATAAAAACAAAATATAAGAACATAATAAAAAATATAAAAATACGTGCCATTATAGAGACCACATTCAAAGACTATATTTAAGAGGTTAAAAACAGAAGTGACCTAAGACTAAACGTATAGTATAAAATATATCTGAATACCAAGTAGTTTGAGAAAAATACAAAGGATTATAAAAATAATTCTTTAGTATCAACTTTTTCCATTTTTTATTCGTAGCATTTCTAACAACCAACTCGTTTTCGACTTGAATAAACAACTCTAAAATCCGATTTCTACAAGAGAAAGGAATTTAAAAACTCGGATTACGATGGCCACTAAACCTCGAAACTCGTTCCATCCCCAAATTCTGTCGCCATCAATTCTCGATTGTATAACGTCACCGTAAAACTTAGTCATCGCACTACCACCATACAGTCGTTTGCATATCAAAAATACACCTTGTTTTCGTATTTTTGTCTGAGAAAACCCCTTCTTCTTATTTTTATTCATTTCGAGGTGAATTCGTAGAAAAATACAAATGTTTTCGAAGAAATTGATAACCGTCTCGAACAGGTCGAGGCCTGGTGATTTTGGTATGTAGGCTGAGGTCATAAATTGATGATTTTTATTCGACCTGCAAACTGCTTTCACTGCCACCCGATGAATGCGCGCTTGACCGCGTTGAACGCAACGAAATCAAGTTAAAACCAAAAACAATGAAAAACTTAATAACTCCATTTTTTTATTCATTTCCTATTTTTTTTTTTTTGTTTTCATGTCTATATCTAATAAAAGTCTCAATATTTCAAAGTTAAAATTTCAAAATTTCAAAATACAACCAATTTTAATTGCACAAAGAAATATTTTCAAAAATATTCAACTTTAAATCGCTGTCCTATAAAAATTAGACGAAAAATTAATAAATTTCAAGATACAATCATTTTAATTGCTCGAAAGAAATTTAACGCAAAACTGATCTTCTATAAAAATTAGAAAATGTAATTTATCGAGATTTCTCCTCTTTAAATGAAACGGACGAAACGAAGAAACATGGTTATGCTCTTCCCAATTTTCGACCCCAACAATTAATCTCTTTTTCTTTTTTTTTTTTTTTTCTCGCGATATTTTCGGCCACGAAACCGGATCTCCGAAATGGTACCGCTCACCTGTAGCGTGACCTTGAAAGGCTCCTGTAGTCGTTCTCGTTCGAGTAGGTAAGCTATGGCACCGGGCATTGCGTCCACCCCCTTGGCCTCCCTCGCGCCCAAGTACCAAACGTAGTACGAGCTCTTCTTAACATCCTTGCTGCTCCTCAGACGTAGGGCCATCACTCACTGTTCGAAACAAAGAAAAGATGCATCGGCTGTCAGCTTCGAGACTTTTATTCTTTTCCAGAGTTCGAACGATTCGAATCTTTCAGGATTAACGGACGGAAAGATTGCGATATCGTGAAAAACTGGATATTCGTAGGATAGGATTTGAATCTTTTGTAATTCTATGGTAAGATCTTCGATTCGATTAATATCGAATCCTTCGAAAATCGATATTGGGAAATCTCGAAATTTTGTAGAAGATGGAATATTTAGAACGCTAAAATTTCTGAAAATTTGAAACTAAAACGAAGTATTCGATATTGTATATAAATGAAATATTGTAAAGCATTTTCCCAACACTTAATCGAACGTATTGTTCAAGTATGATTCTAATCAAGGCCAGCGCATTATCTCTCATTATACGTGCTAGTAATTACTGAAATTTTCTCAAAGTCGAGTATTTTCTTCCATTGGACATATCGCGTACGTAACTTTTCTCTTGCGCAAAAACATCGATTTTCCACGAGGCAAGCTTGCAGCCGTGATTGGCCAAGTACACAAACTGCTTGTCTGTTCATCCGCTTCCTCAATTACTTTCACGCTTAAACCCGTTTTCTATGCTTAAACCGTCTCGCGAAGAATCGGTTCCCACCGATCTGCATCGCCGTATCTCGAGCGAAAATATCCCAGGAACCGGAACAGAAACGTGTTCAGGATCAATGTCGACCTCGTATTACCAATTATCGGCCGATTTTTCACCCATAACCCGTTCATATGTTCTACGCGATTAATTATTCCTACATCCTTCCAACGATTAAATTCCTCGTTCGAGGAATGTTAAAAATTTCATATTTCAGAATATTTCCAAGAAATTAATCTTAGTCAAAGAAAAAAATTTTAAAAATCTTTTTACCTTTAAACAACTGTGAAAGTATAATTTATTATTTTTAAGATAAAGAGATATGATGCAATTTTTGTGTTTTTTACAACAAATTTATTTTTATTTGTAATTCTTTTCATACTATCGAGTTGATGACTATTAAATTAGGAACGTTTACATGTAGAGAAAATGCAAAAATATGAATGTAAAATAAAGTGAAATTAATATATATATGATTGAATGAAACGCATTTTAGATTTTATTATTCTACAATTAACCGTATATATATTTGAATAAACATAAATCCTAATTTATTAAAAAAAATTATATTAAAACAATGATACTTTTATAAATAATTAAAAGTAATTCTATCGTTAATTTTCTCAACATACGTTCAAATATTTAAGTTTCTACACGAATGTTACTTTTTCTTCATCGTTATACTTTATAAAAATCTAAAAACAATCTCATTTATCTCAACATTTAGAGATACTAAATTAAAGAGAATATCGAAATGAAATTTTGAATCCATATAATTAATTTTAAAGACTCGCGAATACAAATGAAAATATATTTGTTTCGTTAAAGTCATCATCGTATTAAAATGCGATCAAAAGTTTGGCGAAAAATCGGATTCTCGCTTTTGGAAATGTTCGAACTCGAATCGCTCAATATGCACGCGATCGAATCATGCGAAACTGTACACGATACTGTCCGCTCTTACGGTATAGGTTTGCTCTCTTTATTTATGCATTACACGCGTTTCGAAATCTTATACGCTCGCGTGTAGCCGTAAATATGTAATAGGTTCGCTTTACCTTAGGACGCAACACTATTTACGAGGAGAGTTATGTTTCTTTTAACGATAAATCCCATTCGATTATCCTCCTATGTATTACCATCCAACCTATGTGTATCAGTTCTGATTAATAGTTTCGACAACTATATTAATCGTTGTTAATATTAAATTATCGATACGAATAAATGAAAATTTTCTTATTCAAAGCTTAAAAGCTAAAACGATCGATTCGATTTGGTTATATATATAACGCGAACGTGTTTTTGTATCAATGCTGGAATTATCAAGTTCACTGGAATTTTGTCAAAGTGATAATTTAACAAATATATACGCATAATAATAATAATTTTATAAAAACTGATCAAAAATTCTTGATAATTCTAATAAAAGAACAAGACTTTGCAAAATTAGAGTTAAACTATGTAATAAAAAATTAATTATCAAGAACAATTCAAAATATTTGAAAATAATTTAAATGAGACATCCTATATAACTCACATGTTTTTATTATTTTAATTTAATTATTAACAATTCGTTAATAATAAATTTAATTGATGTCGAAGGAAGGAAGAAAGAAGCACTATGCGCGAAGCAACTATTAGTGGGATAAATTTTGTGTGCGTGACGAGAAAAGGAAAAAAAAAAAAAAAGATCGAATCATTTATCATTCCCTATCAGATGTTGAAAATTATCCATCCCGATGAATGGAAATTACGATCGTTTAAACGTTACCACGATTGTTCGAACGTCGCGAATCGAACTTTGTAAGAATTGCAACTTTCAATCTATCGCTTTCATCATACCGCGCCGGAAATAATTAAACGAATTTCCTCCACTTCCCTTGTTAAATCGACCATTTCATCATTGATAATGTGCACGTTCCTACTTGAATTATTATCTTTATCACGACATCAATATTTCCAAGAATACCTACGATTTTAATTAACTGCCAATTAATATTACCTCCTTGAGCGATACATTAACGCGAAAATTACCAGAGTGAGTAAATATTTCTTACGAAAAAATACAAAATATCATCGGTATCGTTTTAATATCAAAATTACAACGCTTGACGAGAATATATATTTTATCTTATACATCCTTCGAAGAAGAAAGAAAGGAAGAGAAAAGAAAATGAAAAAACTTAAGTTAAAACTAACGCAACTTGGTTAATTTTTAGATTAAAAAAGACGAGAGGAAATAAATTTAAAAGAGGAAATGACAAATCAAACTGACCAGCAGCAAATGTGTCCGGGATGCTCGGAGCTCGCCGCGATTTTCACAGGAATTAAGCAACGCAGCACAGCGGAGAGGCAACGGATCTTCTGTAGACAGACGGCGGTGGCGGAGGCGGCTGGTTTCAGTGAGCAGAAGAACAAGTTGTACGGTACGTACGGCCCACGTACGTGTTGCAACATGCACAACCTTGTCTATGTAGTATATACGTGTATACACAAATCCTGGCAGGGCACACTAGCTCGTCGAAGAAGAAGCGGAGAAAGAAGAAGAAGCGGAGAGAGAAGATGAAGAAGAAGAAGAAGAACAAGAAAAAGAAGAAGAAGAAAAAGAAGAAGCTCGTCGCTTCGGTTGATCTGACAGCTGCGCGATTTCAGTCCAAAGCACTTTTCCACGCTCGCCACCGTTTCTTTATATGCACACGCTACGCGTTCTTCTCTGTTTACTGTGTACGCTTGAAGAAACCTCGAGTGAATACGGTGGAACGAAAGAAAATGAAACGAAATGGAACGAAAATGTCCAGTCACGAGGTTCTAGGGACACGAGGATTTATGAAATTCGGAAGAAAAAGAGAGAGGGAGGGAGGGAGGAAAGGAGAGAGAGAAAGAGGAAAAAAAAGGAAACAAAAAGAAAAATCTCGTACGATCCTGTAAAGGCGTCGCTTGTTGGCAGAGTTCACTTGTCAACGACGCGGCGCGAGTGGATTCGCGCGTACCTAACCATCACGGGATACTGACTCCACGGTGGAGATCCTCCGCGAAGAGCTCGAGTGAAACGCGAATGAAGGGAGAGTGAACGAGTGAGAAAGGTGGAGCTACCTTACGAACGAGCGGAAGAGAGACAGGCGGATCGACTCGAGTCGAGATTACGTCTATCCTTTAGCGTCGGGCCCCTCTCTCGCTTCGTTTCGAATGCCCGTTTCGACGGGTCTCGATCTTCTGCGCGCTCTCCTCTCTTTCTTTCTCCTCTCTCTTTCGGACGAATCGCCACACCTTGCCGAGATCGACTCGCGATCGCCGGTAACGCGTTCTCTGCCAGCAGCCTCGAACTAACCGGACGGTTTTCTGTCCTGAATTTTAGTCCCGGGG